TATACGTGTGATTGGGTTTACTGTGGGTAGGTTGAGTGAGGGTGTTTAGATTAGTGAGGGTGGAGGTGGGGGGGGGTGGTCCTTCTTGGTGTGGTATAATCAACCTCCGGATCATGTGACAATGTGACGGATTGCGTCATTTGTATAACGGTGCTTTATTTATTTCTTCATCTAAGACTAAATAGTAGGGAAAAAGCATGTCAAATACCCTATATATTAACGAGCTTTCACAAGCTCTAAATTAAAAAAAGTAAGAGTACACTCTTTAAGCTATAATACTAAACACAAAGCTTTCTACTGCTAGTCCGAATGTCTCGATTTCCGGGCTCAGTTCTGTTGGGCTCCGTGAGTTCACCCAGCTCTGATGGGTACCTGGCGCACCTTAGGTAACTAAGGCGGATATGTCGAGGTCATTGAAACACGAACTCTACTTGATCTATCCTATGTGTATTGGGCAGGAAACGGAAAGTATAATGAAGATGAGTTCTTACAAATAGATGGTCACTTTGGCGTATAGGCTTAGTACTGACCACATTATCTCCCTGTATGTCGAGGTGATTGAAACACGATCTTTACTTTATCTGCCATTTGTGTATTGGGCACAAAGGGGAAAAGATTATGAAGATAAGTTAAATAAAAAGCGCGGGTCGATTTTAAAATCTTTCTTGGTTCAGTCGTCTCTGGGTTGTTTTCGTCCATTATTTGATTGATTTGTTTTGATCTTTGTATGCTTTGTTCTAGTATGAGAGTGTGGTGTGTTTGGTTTTCCGAGACTATCTGCTCTATTTTGCTTCTGATTTGTGTCTCTCTATATTTATATTCTTGTAGTTTCGAAAGTTCCGTTTCTATTGAGTCTATTTGTTCTTTGTTATTGTTTTTTTCCGTTATGCATACTTAGTTTTTTTTTTTTTTTTCTAGTTTAGTTTCTATGTGAGCTCTAACGCTAATAATGCTATAAGCATATTGAATTGATATTCGCTTAATGTCTTATTTAAAATCGTCCCAATGTTGGATTTTGTTTGATTTTGGTGATGACTGTGTGTAAAATTGTATTGTGTATTTTTTGCTTTTGTGTAGCGCTCGTCTAGTAATAGTGAATTATTGAGTTTCCAGTATGTGTTATGTTTTTGTTTGCTTTGTGTTTGTTCGTTGTTTAAAGTTGTCAGAACTACTGTATGGTCGCTAAACTGTAGTGTTGAGAATAGGTGTTCTATTTTGTCGATTTTCATGCTCAGTGTGGCGTAAATTAAGTCTAGACGGAATCTATTCCCAAATGTTTTACAACAGTGAGTGGTTTGTAAGGTGTGTGGATATCGTGCTATGCATGTGTAGACTAGTTTGAAGGATGTTTTAATGTTGTTGATTTAGTCGGCGTGTGGTTTGTCTGCGGTTAAACGGTTTCGAATGATGTCTTTTGGTTCTACAATGTCTAGTTTGTCTTCCACGAAATTAAAGTACTTTGGGGCTGGGCGTGTTGGGGTTGGCCGTGTAGGGCTCTGGATAGTATCAGTTTCAATAATGTGTTCGTTTTCTTTGTTTTGTGAACTGTCTTTTTTTATTTTTCCGTAAAGGCTTGTTTCTTCTACCCGGAACTGTTGTCTATTCTCCTTCTGTGGTTGGGGCTGTGACTATGGCTGGTTCTTGGGCTGGTTCTTGGCTGGTACGATTTCTGTGGCGACGACTGCAAAATGTAGAGATTTGTAGATTTCATCTGATTAGAGAGAGATAAACCATTCACTTGGTTTTCCCTAGTTGTAGACATTAAGAATTTGAGAACGATTTACGTTCAGTTTACACGTAAATAGGTCCTCTAATATTAATTCGTGGATTCGACGTTCTTTTTTACTTTCTCGTATATACGAAGTATAGAGAAAGTCTTGTAATCGTGCAAAAAAAAATCGAGATTTCTACAAATCTCGACGTTTTACACCTCACTGATACGGAAAAACATAATTTTGCAATCTTGTCCGTATGTCTGTGTGTCTGTCTGTGTGTGTGTGTATATGTGTGTGTGTCCGTGTGTAAACACGATAACTTGAGTACCGTTACAGCTAGGTTGATGGAATTTCATTTGTAAGTGTTTTATCAAAATCGTAGATCCGTATCAACTTTTGAGCGATTTCCAATAACCGGAAGGGGTACTTTATCTACTTTGAATTTTTCAAAAGCCTATAACTTGAGTACTATTTCAGATAGATAAATGAAATTTGATATGTAAGTAAAAGATCTAATTCTCTACCTTCTGTCAAATTTTAAGTAATTTTCGTTGACCGGAAGTACTAATTTACGCTATTTCCGATTTCTCAAAAAAACGCATGTAAATTTATAAAGTACTAATAATATTGCGCGCTATTATGCACATCTTTATTTAGCGTTCACTTGGTGTACAAATCTTTTTTCTACGAGATTATATTCTATTTTAAAAAGTTTGAGTATTTAAAATGGATTAAAAATCATGTCTAGAATTCTATACTTCCAGTTGCCATCCCCCGTAGTGTTATATTAGAATATTCGAGAAAGTTTAGGGGAGATCACTCCCGGTTTATTTCCTTTAATCAACACACGTAGCGTGTTTTTGGGATGCCGCCCAGGTGCGGTCCCCGAAAGCGTGATTTTTTTCAAGAGTGTACTTACAGGTACAGGTCTCTCCTTTTGTGACACATCTCCGGTTTTTTTCCCACTGTGAAGAACAGTTACAGTTTCATTTTTTTAGTTTCATTTGAAACGGGTGTTGACAAAGGCCAGCTGGTTGTTTACGTGGTGTCCGTATTGTCCTCAGGACAGAGAGAAGGACAGCTAAGGTTTTCTGTAAGTCGTGTCTGTCTGGTTTCGGCCATCTTGAAGTAAAAATTTTAAAAAAATATGCAAACATAGGATCCTGCTATTCATATTGAAATGTTAACAGAACTCGTTTAAACTTCCTGGTATTAATACTACAGCTGGTTGACACCAGTAACATTTTATTATTGGATTAACATTAACAATTACTGGGAGTTGTAATAAACATTGTGTAGTAAATCACCAAATAATTTAAACTAATTTTTTAGATTTATGTTTCTATAATTAATACCAATGTCTGTTTACTGGATTTTATTACAAAATGTATTACTACTTTTTGCTCTTCTTTTTATCGTTTAATTTTATAATTACCTCCCTTGAAAAAAAAACATTGTTTGTTTTCTTCCCTGATAAAAAAGTTCCAATACCAAAGATACTTTCAAACAAACAAAAGACGACAGCAAACATGTGTGAACTGTGTTACACCTTGGTGTACTCTCGGGACTAAAACTAATAATCTGTGTCAATGTTTAGTTTCATGTGTGGGTGGGAGGGAGGTGTGTGATGGAATTTTGCTCAAGGTTGGGAATAGTTTTCACTAACAATGACCAATAATAATCCATTACATTTATCCGCTAACATATTATGTGAGACATCAGTAAACACGATAATTTAGAGTGGGATATTCATTGTGGGAGAATTTAGTGCGGCGGAATTTAGTGTGGAAGAATTCATTGGGGGAGAATTTAGTGCGGGAAAGTTTTGTGTGGGTGAATTTAGTGCGGGAGAATTTAGTGTGGAAGAATTCAGTGAGCGATAATTTAGTGTCGGAGAATTTAGTTTGGCAGAATTTAGTGTTGGAAAATTTAATGTTGGCGAAATGATTGTGTTGTAGTGTAGGCAAGGCAAATGATTTGCATTGGTGTGTTTACAATTATATCAACTGTTGGTGTGAAGGGGTTTACTGTGGGTATGTTAGTTGAGTTGGGGAGTTAGGTATCAGTAGGGGTGTGTTTGTTTTGAGGGGGGGGGGGGGGAGGGGGATTAATCGACCTCCCGTTGTGTGTAGGTGGGGCTAGTATACGCATTTTGATTGTGTGTGGTGGGATTAGTGAACGCATTTCAGATTTTCTTCACATAGATTTTTTAATACGTTACGTATAGTGTATTGCCAATTCAAAGTATAACAACGCGAATTTTGCGTTTAATTTTTGTAAAAAAATAAAAATAAACTACAGGCTAAAATCGAGTTATTTCCCTTTAATTTATCAGTTTGTCTCCCTTTCTCTTCCATGTCATTATTCGTAGGAACGACGCCCATCACTTGACCTCATGTCTAGGAAAAATGTCTTTAATTAGAAAAAAACATGTTTTTTTTTTTTTTTTTTTTTTTTTTTTTTTTTTTTTTTTGTGCTGTCTGTTCTGTTTACACTTAATTGGCTTCTAGGGTGCTCTCGCTTCGTGTTACGTTCGACTTACTACATCACTTTAACGTGGTTTTTCCGAAACATGTTTTTTACGTGATCTTACTTTAGGTTACGTGTATCTTATTTTAAGTCGTTACGTGACACAGACGTGATATTATCTTACCGTGATCCGATGTTAAATACTACTACGTCACTTTAAAGTAAATGTGGCGTATATACAAGGTACGGCGTGAGACTACATTTAACCTGAAATAACTGACGTGATCCTTACGTGGTTATCACGGGATAAGAAATGGCCATAAAATTTTGGGCACAAAAATTAAATAAAATTCTCAAATAGAAAACAAGTTAGTCATACACACGATATGGGTCTGCGTGGTCAAGTCGTTAAAGCTCATGGTAGCTAAACCGAAAAGTCTCGAGTTCAAACCCTCGGGCAGATGAGGCTCGTTAGCTGGGGACAGCAACTCTTCTAAGAGAGACCTCCAAAATCAAACAACTGCTGCCTTGTAGTTTGTTTTTGGTTGGACAAAGGCTATGGAAGCACATAAAAAAAAAGAAATAAAGAAAAGCAGGCTGAAATCGGAATCAACGGCCTATATGGCGCATAACCAGTTGACACGTATACTTAGTTCTGTCGGAGAGGATTCCTTCCAACACTAAAATTAAGAACGAAGAAGAAAAGAAGATACACACGATAAACTGGTCACCACATGAACCTATCTAGATACTAAAATAAACCTAAATTGAACAAAACTTCTACCTAACATAATCCGAACATGAACCTACTATAAACTAACATAAAAGTAACATGTAGACGATGGCGAACCAGCGGTAATCGGCCGTGCAGTTGCCTAGAAATTTGGCAAGCGGGATGGGGAAACGGAGGTAGGGGATGGGGTAGAACAGGAGGATGCCGGTGATGTTGAAGAAGAGGTGGCAGAAGGCTGCTTGTAACGCGTTTCTGAGGCCGTCCGTGTTGGCTAAGGCTGAGAGAATCGCCGTGGTCGTGGTGCCGATGTTTGACCCCAGGGTCAAAGGGTACATCCGGTCGAGTTCGATGACCCCGATGCCGACGAGCGGGGTGAGGGTGGAGGTGAAGATGGAGGAGCTCTGGACGATGATGTTCAACCCGGCGCCGATGATGATGGCGAGGTATCCGGTGAGGTAGCCCAGCGGTCCGGGAAAGTCCGCGTAGATGAATTTTTTGATGATGAGAGCGATGGGGCCTTGGAGAAGGGAGTGCAGTAGTTTGACAATGGCGACTAGACACAGGGAGAGAATTGTAAGGGAGATAACCAGCATGATTGCTCCAATGGCTTTGTCGTTTAATGTGTAGTATATTCCCTTGAATAAAAACTCACCTAATGGTAAAAAAAAAATTAATCATAAATCATAAATTACAAACAAAAATGTAATTATATATTTTATATTCATATAAATAAAACCGGGATTTTCGTAAAATTTAGAAAATTATAAATTCGTTTAAAAACGTGACAAATTGATAGGTTTTAAGGTGCGAACCGCTGTTCTAATGCTATTTTTTAATGTAAATTTCATATAGATAAATACCCAACCTTACGATAACCCTAGCACACTACTGTTCTAATGTTATTCTTAATTGTTCATTTCATACATATAAATACTCAACCCCCTGCACAACCTTAGCACAAACTCAAGATTGAAATTATTCACGCTGCCGAATCCTACAAAACATCCAGAACATTAACGACTTTTCCAGTTTGTTCCAGTGTTTCATCAGACTTTTTTCTCCGGTGAGGGGGGGGGGGGGCACGTTAAATTTTCGGGAGGGGGGCGGTAGACCCTCTTCTGGGGGGGGGGGGGTTCGGACACTGTTAAAAGTATATATTTTCTATATAAATTATATAAATTTCATTTCGTTCGGGGGGGGGGGGGGGGCGATAGCATTTTTTCGGGAGGGGGAGGGGGGGGGGGGGGGCAGATGCCTGGAAGAAACTCTGGTTTGTTCGATTTGAAACTTTCAAAGTAAAATTTATTTCGTTTGGGGGGGGGGGGAGTTTCTGCAAAGTGGGTTTACCCTTTCACATATGCTCAGTGTTTCTTTCATCCATTTTTTCTGGGGGAGGGGCATTTAAAGTTCCGGTTGGGGAAGGGTTGACAAGTATATATTCAGAATATTCTCCATTAAAAACAAAATTCTATTTCAGCTAAGTTGGGTTTTTTGGAGTAATCCACCTACTTCACCGAGGAAATGCCTGAAAGAAACTCTGGCATTACATAGCTGAGCCTTTCCACCTCCCTCATGGGATACTGAGGTTGGCGGGCAGTGCTCTCTCTAGACGCCGATGGTTAACTATCCATAACCTTAAACCGGAGGCTTAGCCACCCTACATACGACGACCTTGACCCTAAGGCTTGCCTATCCCTAACCTACCTCAGACGGCCTTGACCACGAGGAATACCCACCCTACCTCAGAGGGCCTTGACCCGGATACTTATCCATCCAAGATTCAGACGACCTTGACCCCTGGGCTTACCTATCCTCGACCTACAACAGTCGACCTCTGACCTCGTGCCGTGGAAAGCGTCACAGTCGACCTGTGGGACGAGCCTCTGGATGCTCCATGTCTTGTTACTCCAGGGCGTGCTCGTGCAGTCTTGGTGCCATGTCTGGTTCCGGCCCACGTATGCGCTAAGCTGCAGACGGAAGTGAAAGATTCGATTACTAGAGCTGTACCCTCTAAGCTGTACCCTCTAACCGGACGGTCCATAGGGCAAGTGAAGTAGAGTTCACCTGATTCTGGGACCTCGGTATATTATGAGGTACCAACCAGAGCTGGGTGGGCTCAGGTATTTTATACTGACGAACCTGGATTCCAACTCGAGACTTTCAGGTAGCTGTCTAGCGCTCTACCGCTAAGCCGTAAAGTCAAGTAAAGTTCCCTTTTCTAACCTGAAGGTCTATGGGGGCTAGTGAAGTAGAGTTCATCTGTTCATTTGACCCCAGTATGTAAACGGATAGTGTAGTCAACAGTATACCCAGCGCCTATACATTATCTGATGTGAGTTAGATACCCATCAGAGCTGGGTGGACTCAGGGATGTTCAAATGAATAGATCCCGTTTTCGTACTCGAGACTTTCCTGTTAGCAGTCGAATGCTCTACTACGCCGTCCCATGAAGTCGTGAAGTCCTTGCAACAATCTCTTAACGCATTGAAATCTGGTGTATACAACTTACCCTAATCATTTAGCTTACGAACAAAAGTTAACCGAGACAATTGAACCACCAATGTCAAACATTAGTTTCAACCATTAACCTAATCTCAACCATCAACCCCTTTCGAATTTGGGTTCAAGTCAATAATATGTGCTTGTCCACCCAGTTCTGAAGGGTACGTAACTCATGTTAGGGAAATAAAGGCAGCTTGACATAGTGCTGACCACACTATCTCATCATATGCTGAGGTTTCAGAAGCAGATGAACTCTACTTCATCTGTCCCATGTATCTTTGTCTCGAACATGATGATGATGATGATAATGATGATGATGATGATGATGATTATGATGGTGGTGGTGGTAATGATAATGATAAGGATAATCATGGTAATGCTGATGATTATAATAATGATAATGATGATGACGATGATGATGATGATGATGATGGTGATGATGATGATGATGATGATGATGATGATGATGATGATGATGATGATGATGATGATGATGATGATAATGATGATGATGATGGTGATGATGATGATGATAAAATTAGAAATCACATAATATAACTATAGGGCTATCCCAATCCACCTTAGAAGCCAATAACTTTTAGTTTCTTTCTTTACGGACACCACTGGTTCAGTAGGTATCTATCATTGCCAGGCAGGCCACAGCACGGCAAACTCCGACTAACTGGTTTGGATATCGGTTTGATTACTGTATCTGTCGCTTCTGTCTTTCGGTTCTCACAAGGCTTATCTTTCACCCCACGCGAACCCAGAGTCCAGTACCTTATAGCTCAACCGTAGGAAACTAATAACTAACATACTTCGTCACTCAGGTCAAATTATTGCATACTGACACATAGAGCAGGGTCTCCAAAATTTTCAGCCCAAGGGCCGCTTTAACTTTCAAATATTAGTTCGGGGGCCAGAATGTCTTCCAGGCATCTCAATCCCACGAAGATCGTCTACCGTCTTCCCCCTCCCAACGTATTTAAATGAATATATAACTTTCACACAACTTAGCCATCTTACTGCTGTGAAATGTGGTAATTCTTGCGATTCTGTGTTTTTATCTTTCAACATGTCTCTGAACTATCTATGGATGAGCCCATGTGACCTTATTAAATTCACCATCTTCACCACAAGATTCAATACACTGCATATTTATTACACAAAGCTTGCTGGTGAATAATACAGTGCAGGGACATTGGTTGTAGAATGTTTTTCTCATTCGGTTGTCCAACCAAGTCTTTCTTTATGACACTCATGTACTTTCCCCCATCAACAGTTAGGTAACTGAAGTTAGTCTAGTCCACGTTATAATCAGCAAATGTTTTCTTTAACTCACTGAATATATCCTATCAAGTAACAGTGCAAAACATGTTATGTAGGGAAGCCAGCTCTTGTGTTATTTTCTTGTCTTCATCCACATCTCTAATGATTACAAGCAATTGAGAGGCGGAACAGCTGTCCAGCGACTCGTCAGTTGCAATTGAAAAATGGCGAAACTTGCTTGCATTTTTCGCTATTTTATTCACAATGTTTTCATCAATGTCTGCATCACGGTTAGCAATGATACTTTTGCACCCAATGCTACATCTTCAGATTGATTTGAGTTTTTCCTCAGCCACCTCCAACAAACATTTTTTCGTTGACAAAGGGATCTACGCGGGCCGGTTGAGGGGACCTCGCGGGCCGCATCCGGCCCACGGGCCGTAGTTTGGAGATTCCTGACGTAGGGGAATGCATTCTGAATAAAATGACAATCCCCATGTAACGACATTCAAGACGGGCGGCCCTTGGACAGGGGCAAGCAAGGAATGGTCTCCACGGGGCTGGCTACAGCGCGGCTGTGGGGTTGGGCCTGGTGCCAAGGCGGCTGTCAGCTTTCCATTTACTTTCTACCTCACCTATTCTCACTGTTCTCTGATGAGTTTTTTAATCCTATTTAAAGTTGATTTTCCTTACAGTATACCATTTTTACAAGCTTTTATTTAACTCACTTCCTCTGTCGTAAGTCGTCAGTCGACAGTCTGTCGTCAGTCTAGACGGAAACGCAGGAGTGAAAATTCGGACAGTTCTACTTGACCGACACGATTCACAGTTGGCACGTGGGTCAAGACATGAAGACAATGCAATCTGAAACTAAATTTGACTTAATTGGATGCCTAATTGATTTTTTATGAATTAATTAAAATTTGAACCGAATTAGTAGGCATGTCTAGCCAACCACACCACACGCGTCATCAATAGCTGCGCCATCACGACCACGTAATGGCTGCGTTCAAAAACCATTGCGCGCCTACTGAACGTGATATTCAGTAGGCGCGCAATGGTTTTTAGTCATGTAACTCTATTGTAGATAAAACATGTAAAGTACTGAAAAAAAAATTCATAAAAAACGTTTTAATAACAAGCTTTTATGTAATGATGCACTAAAAAGTAGAAAATAAATTATAGACTACTATTTAAATAACTATAAAGAAAAGCGTGGGTGTCTTCCTTAACATTAGTAAAGGTATCCAATAGATACTAAAGTGACCCACGCTTTTCTTTATAGTTATTTAAATAGTAGTCTATAATTTATTTTCTACTTTTTAGTGCATCATTACATAAAAGCTTGTTATTAAAACGTTTTTTATGAATTTTTTTTTATGAGTTTTTAAATGAAACAATTGAATTATTAATCATTGTGCATGGAAATGGGGAGCCGCACCATGACGTCAGGGGAGCCGCATGCGCCTCGCGAGCCGAGGCGGGCCGCAGGTTGCCGACCGTGCGCTAGCATATTAAGTGAGACTTCATTATTTACTCAGATATAAGAACACGTTCTTGTGTGCACATGTGAGAACATAGCTTTAACAATCTTCTTGCTATTAATATTACAGCTGGTTGATACTAGTGTCTTCAAATTTTTGAATTAACAGCTAACAATTACTAGGAGTTGTAATTATTATTTTGTTATTACTCACCAAATTGTTTAGAAACTTTTCTTGTAATTTTATTTTTTGTAATTAATTTTGACGTTTGTTTACTTGTTTTTGTTTCGATATATATTAATACTTTTTTCTTTTCTTTTTATCGTTTAATTTTATAATTACCTCCCTTTATAAAAAAATATTATATGTTTTTTCCCCTGACAAAAAAGTTCTACGCGCGAGATATTTTGACAGAAACAAAAGACGACAGCAAACCGCTGTGAACTGTGTTACAACTTGGTGCACTCTAGGGACTAGCACTAATATTCTGTGTCAATGTTTAGTTTCACGTGGGGTGAGTGGTGGGGGAAGTGTGTGATCGAATCTAGTGTGGGGGAATTGAATGTTTGGGCGATTTTGGTGGAGACTATTTTTGTATCGAGTTTAGATTTGGGAGATTTTTAGTTTTGGAGAATTTATTGTGGGAGAATTTAGTGGGGGATAATTTAGTGTGGGGGAATTTAGTGTGGGGGAATTTAGTGTGGGGGAATTTAGTGTGGGAAAATGATTATGTCAATGTGTTGTTGTAGTGTATGCAAAGAAAATTATTTGAGTGTTTGTGTGTATCTATACATATAATTCTCTTCATGTGGGTAAGTTGAGTGGGGGGTGTTTGGATTAGTGGGGGGTGGGGGGAGTTGTCCTTTTGGGTGTGGTTTATTCAACTACCGGTTCATGTGACAATGTGACGAATTGCGTCATTTGTATTTTATTTATTTCTTCATCCAAGACTAAATAGTAGGGGAAAAGCATGTCAAATACCCTATATATTAACGAGCTTTCACAAGCGTTAAATTACAAAAGTAAGAGTACACTTTTTAAGATATAATACTAAACACAAAGCTTTCTACTGCTAGTCCGAATGTCTCGAGTTCCGGACTCAGTTATGTTGGGCTCCGTGAGTTCACCCAGCTCTGATGGGTACCTGACGCACCTTAGGTAACTAAGGCGTAAAGGCTTAGTACTGACCACATTATCTCCCTGTATGTCGAGGTGATTGAAACACGATCTTTACTTTATCTGCCATGTGTGTATTGGGCACGAAGCGGAAAAGATTATGAAGATAAATTAAATAAAAAGCGCGGGTCGATTTTAAAATCGTTCTTGGTTCAGTCGTCTCTTGGTTGATTTCGTCCATTATTTGTTTGATTTGTTTTGATCTTTGTATGCTTTGTTCTAGTATGAGAGTGTGGTGTGTTTGGTTTTCCGAACCTATCTGCTCTATTTTGCTTCTGATTTGTGCCCCTCGATATTTATATTCTTGTATTTTCGAAAGTTCCGTTTCTTATGAGTCTATTTGTTCTTTGTTTAGTTTCTATGTGGGCCCTAACGCTATTAATGCTACAAGCATATTGAATAGATACCCGCTTAATGTCTTGTTTTAAATTTTCCCAATGTTGGATTTTGTTAAATTTTGATGAAGACTGCGTGTAAAATTGCATTATGTCTTTTATAGTTTTGATGTAGCGCTCGTCTAGTAATAGTGTATTATTGATTTTCCAGTATGTGTTATGTTTTGGTTTGTTTTGTGTTTGTTCATTTTTTAAAGTTGTCAGAACTGCTGTACGGTCGCTAAACTGTAGTGTTGAGAATAGGTGTTCTACTGTGTTGATTTTCATGTTCACTGGGGCGTAGATTCTGTCTAGACGGAATCTATTTCCACATTTGTTATTTCCGTGGGTGGTTTGTATGGTGTATGGATATTGCGCTATGAATGTGTCAACTAAATTGAAATATGTTTTAATGTTGTTGACTTAGTCGGCGTGTGGTTTGTCTGCGGTTAAGCGGTTTCGGATTATGTCTTTTGGTCCTACAATGTCTAAACTGTCTTCCACGAAATTGAAGTCCCCGGTTGGTTGTATCTGTTAGTAATTGTTCCAGGTTTTCACAAAATTTACTGTTTTTGGGGTCTATGTGGTCCGTGTACATTGACTATGCTTAGTTTTCACCCTAGTCTGGAAGAAACACTAACAGTCTAGCGCTTCGCACTTTTTAAATGATAAAAAAAGTAGTTACTCTATAAAACAAGGCGGTCAATGAGGTA